AACTAATATTTTCGCAAAAACTTACTAATCTCCATATCGGTTCTTATTTATAATAGTAATGCCTAGGAAAATTTTGTAAAGTAGTCGAAGATAGATAATATATACTTGAAACCTTTATTTTTTTCGCGTATGGTGTAATTTCGACGAGATCAACTTGCCATAAGTCGCTTTTTCCGTAAACATTATCTATACGTTTGATAAAAATGTTGCTCGCTGCTTTATGTAGCTCATACGTGATATCACGTTTAGATATCAGGAATTCTTTTTATAACCCTAGCTTTATGTAATTCTTCGAAAATAGATAATATATCATTCAAAACTCCGGTGTTTTCAGCTGCTTGAGAAACTAAGAGAAGTTTAAGTCGGTCGGCAAGTTAATTTGAATCATTCCAATAAACTAAATTTTGTTTCTGTAATTTCATAGACAGTCCACAACTTGATGCAAGAAATTTAGTAATAATATTTTCATATTTATTATTATCGATTTTAATCTTTGTCCCATATTATTCATAGTATTATTTCATAATTTGTCGGATGGTAATGTATGGTTTGTAGTTGATTTCCTTCTTATAAATTCGCTTTGGTATTCTCTGATAATATCAGTTACATATTTTACTAGTCTGTTGAGGATTGTCAGAGACAGAACCTTGTAGCTTGTTTCTAAGAAAGAGATTTCTCGGTAGTTTTCGACTTTCGTTGGGTTTCCCTTCTTGAAGATCGGACAGATGATTGCCATATTCGAGTCCACTGGTATTTTTTCTCTAGTGCATACATAATAAATTAATTTATGAATTTCAGTAGTTAATTGTTTGCCCGCTAGTTTTATTAACTCCGAATTTATGTTATCCTCGCCGGGTGTTTTATTGTTTGTGTGATTGGAGTTACCATCTGTTCCCCTGTAACTTCTTACATTGTTTATGCATTTCTCATGTTTTCTATTAATTATAACGTGGTAAATTTGGTTCTTAGTTTTTGAATCAGAAGATATCCATGTAAGTTTAAAGATATATTTTCTTGAGTAAAACGTGCTACTTACTACTAGATCCTTAGATGTTGCAAAATGAATTATTCTCATGCCATTATTATTTGATATTAAGTGCAAGCTTTCCAACTCTATAATAGGTCTATACAGATTCTCTCGTCCGATTTGGGTGTTGAAATTCCCCATTAGTATTTTTATGCAGTTTTTTGGTCGGGTTTCATATATTCTTTCTAGTTTTTCATAAAATTCACATTTGGTGTCATTGTTTCCTTTCTTAGCTGGAGCATAGCAATTTATAATCACAATATCCTAGAAACGTCCTTCCAATTTTAAAATACACAGACGATCGCTTGTTAGCTTAAGTTTTAGACTTGTGGTATTATTGCTTCACTTATCATGAAACCTACTTCATATTCATGTCTACTATTCACCAATCCACTATGACTCGAGTCCGCAGGGTTGTCACACCCGTCACCAATTAAGATACCCCATGCGGGAAGTTTGAGCTAATATTGATTTATATATTTCCAATTCTTGCTGAGTATATCGAAAAGGCTGTTTTGAGAACAACAAACTTAGAAGTCCTGATGTAAGAAGGCGTGTAATGCTTTCAATCACCAATGTATTTCCAAAGAATTTAATTTCTTAATCGTCCAGCTTAATAGTAGTTTTGCAATTTTTTTGAACCATATGTCTTATCTTTAGCTTGGAAATGAAACCAGCTATCAAAGTCTATCAATATCAGCTTATTTGAAAATTTTTCTTCGTTTACAACGTTTTCCTCAGGTGTGAGGGATTTTTTGATTTGATGGATAGTTGGTATTTTTACCAGGGGTTCAATTATAGGTTTTAACGTTTTTGAGATAAAAGAACGGGATCGAGGTTTCCATGTTTTAGCATCGAATATTTACACCTGATTTTTTTTTTTTTGTTTAGCTAATTCAGCCATAAGCATACCTTCTCAAGAGTTATGACTTGGACTGCTATAATATGTATGTTAGATCGCTTTATATAACAACAAACGTGTCATAGCCGTATCCAGTGGCGGACTGGCCCGGGGTGCTAAAGTGCGATCGCACCCCGGGCCCATAGAAAAACAAAAAAAGTTTTTAATATTAAAAATAATTACTTTATCATTATTTGCCACCATCACATTTTATTCTTATTATTAATTGTATTTATTATCAAAACATAATATTAAAATAAATAATACAAAAGTATAAATTGTAAATGATTAAAATAGACATAAGTACAAAACCAACTATTGAATTCGTATTTTGTAGGTATATAATTTTGGGAATTTAAGATAATATAATGTTTCTATTATTAATTATTATCGTCTGACATTTCCGCATGCTATAAAGATATATATAGCATATCATATTATATTCATATGGACACACTCGCACACATTTTATATTATTACGACTGTCAACGTTGACGAGTGACGATAACGTCGATTCGTCGATAACTATTCAATTTCGTTTGACCTGCTAAAGTACTGACTGCTGTCTGCTAGAAAAACAGGTACTTATACTCATTTTTTAAAAGTTTTTCTATCAATACATTTTTCTATTTATTAATAATTATGAAATAATATACATAGATATTGTCGGCAGGCAGGCCCGGATTATACGTATTATATTATACAAATTTTTTATGATAACTGATTATATTATTCTGTGATAGTGCACCGTGCACGTGCGTTTCGCCGCTTCGTAATTTGTTATCATTTATTGTTTATCCGAACTCGTCGGGTACCAGAGTTGGGCAAAATTTTATCTAGATAATTATTCGAATAAATATGTATTCGAATAAAAAATTATTCGATTGATTTTTTTACAATTCTTCGAATAAAAATTTATTCGACTAATTTTCAAATACAATTATTCGAATAAAAATGTATTCGACTGATTTTCAAATACAATTATTCGAATAAAAAATTATTCGACTAATTTAGAAACAATATTATTGGAATAATTTGTGATCATAATATTATTTGAATAATTTTTAAACATAGTTATCCTATCTTAGTATTTATAGTAGTAGTTAGTACTAATTACTAAATATGTATTATGAAATAATGATTATAATTCTTCTAGTTTGTTCATGTATTTAGTATTTACCTTTATAGTAATTAATTATCAATATTGAAGATGTTATTATTATATCTAGTTTAGTCCAGTTCCTGTACTATATTATATAGTCTCAGATATTTTCGTACTATGTACTAACTACGTATGTTCAATGTTGTATTTCATATTTATAAGTTCAAATATATAGAGCTCTACACATATTCAAATATTATTATATATATATATATATATATATATTTCTTTACTTTCTTATATAAATCAATATTTGTTTTTTATTATACGATATTTTTAAATTTTTCCAAAAATCATTCAAATAATAATTTATTCGAATAATTGAGTTTGAAAATTAGTCGAATAATAATTTATTCGAATAATTGAGTTTGAAAATTAGTCGAATAATAATTTATTCGAATAATTGTATTTGTAAATTAGTCGAATAATAATTTATTCGAATAATTGTGAAAAAATCATTCGAATAATAATTTATTTGAATAAAATGTTATCTAAATAATCATCTAAATAAAATTTTATTCGAATAACGCCCAACTCTGTCGGGTACCTACTCGTTATTTCGTTTTGAATATTCTGTTGCTTAGTGATGATAAAGTATGAATAAAGCCTAAAGGTTATTTATATTATATAGTGTGTTATATGTTAAATCCCAAATGCCATTATATTGGCAACGTAAGTTTTTCTATCTAACGCCCAATGCCATTATAATGATAAGTCACCAACATTCAAGTTTGGGTAGTCTAAAAATTTAAAAACTCGAAATTTCTCTTAATTTAAGTTTGTTTAATGCAAAGAACACATGAAATATTTTTTTTCATCAGCTTATAATTCGGGACTGAAAGGGTTAAAAATACCAGCGTTGGCCGTTCAGCACTTCAGCAATCGAGAATTAAAATATTAAAAATTTGCCATAAACAGTAAACACAAATCGGTGATCACTGACATTTCTATAATAAATTATTATTCTATGACATAAGTGTTTAATAAAATCACAATAAAATGAACGGTCGTCATCGTTGTTGTTATTCTTCCGACCACAATCAATACCAACGACGCGGTAAAAATAGATATGATACTCATACAATTAATTGACCCTTAATCCGGGCCTGTGACGACACAGTTGTCATATGTTCATATTTTGTTTTAAATAAAGTTAGTCCACATTATTTTAACTACCTATAACCTATATAAAAAACCATTAATGTTTTAAATTATTATTTTTTATCGAAATCAAATTATTATATTAGTATTAAATATTGTCCTGAAATAGTATATCTAAGTTTTATATTTGTATTTATATTTTATATTTACACTCCAACAGATGATTCTAATGAAATAAAAACAAAATACTCTTTTTTTATTTCCACAACATTTTTTTTTAACTTAACGATGTTTATTTTTGTGATACTTTGAATACGATGCATTTAAATTAACAAATTTGAAACATTCATTTTTTAGAGTTGGTATTGAAGTATACGCTTATAATGGCAGACAAATATTATAAGCACAAAAGTGGAGCTGAAAAACATAAAATTCGGTCTGAGAAAAAATTACAATTATCGAGTAGAGATCCAAAACAAACAAAACTTAATTTTTTTGCAAGACCAACCCATTTAAAAACCGATAGTACAATCGATCCACAGCTAAAATTAAGACAGCCTCTATCATCATCATCATCATATCATGATGATGACTTAGCAATTGAATTAAATAACCCTTCAAAACAATATAATGATTTAGAGTCAACAATTAACCAAAAAAATAAATCTTATTCCGAAAATGATTTATCTACTTTTAAAAATTATTCCAATAAAACAAATTATAATGAGAAATTAAAAGAAGAATTTGAGATAAATATTTTACATCCATTTTTTCTACCCAATCTAAATAATTCTTCTATTTATGAAAAGATGGCATTTTTAAAACTTCATCCAATTCAACCTTCTGATATTAAGTCACTAAGTTTTGATCCTCGTAAAGTTTATTTTCGACTATTACCAACAGGAGAAAGTCTACAGAGAAAATGGTTATCATATTGCGTTGAGAATAAAAGTGTTTATTGTAGTATATGCATGGCATTTTCTATTGACAAGAACACAACTTTTTGTACTGGTTCAGTAGTTAATATTAAAAACTTGTACGAAAGACTCAACAAACATGAAAAGTCATTGAGTCATTCTGATGCAACTTCATGTTATTTAATAAATAAATCTGGAGTGAATGTAGAAAATCTTATCAACACTGAAAGAGAATTAGTTGTGAAAAATAACCGAGAAATAGTTCATCGTGTAATTAACATAATACTTTTACTCTCAAAACAAAATGTAGGTTTTAGAGGTAAACGCTATGAATCTGCTTATGATTTGAATAATTTACAAAACAACCATGGGAATTTTTTAGAAGTTGTTAACTTTTTATCTACATATGATCCAATAATGCGAGTTCATGTAGATAAAGTTTCTAAAAAAAGTGCAGAAATGAAAAAAATAAGAGAAGCCAATACATCTCAGAAACATGGTCGTGGTTCACTAATTACATTTTTATCAAAAACTACTATTAGAAATATAATTGTACTAATGGGGAACATAATACAAAAAGCAATAGCAGTGGATGTAGTTGCAGCTGGATTATTTTCATTTGAAGTAGATTCAACCCAAGATATTATTGTAAAAGATCAAATGTGTATTTGTGTAAGATTCGTTAATGTTAATAGTGAAAACTTGGTTCAAGAGAGACTTTTCAAAATGGTAACAATAAAATCAGCAACAGGTGAAGCACAATACAAATTAATTAAAAAGGAATTATGTGATTTAAACATAGATTTAAAATTACTTGTAAGTGATTCTTTTGACGGAGCATCTAATATGAGTGGGAAGTACAAAGGTTTACAAAATCAATTAAAAGTAGATGCTCCTAATTCTATATTTACTCATTGCTACGCTCATGTTTTGAATCTTGTCATTCAAGATTCTGTAAAATGTTGTGTTTGTGCTCAAAATGTTTTCTCTTTAATTAATAAAACTGCTGTATTTTTTACTGAATCATATAAACGTGCCGATGTTTGGACAGATACTATTTTTGAAAATGAAACTGGTGCAGATAAATTAAGAAAATTAAAAAAGATAGGTGCTACAAGATGGAACAGTGCCGATGATGCTTTACGAAGTATATTTAATACATGGTCGGATCAAAACGAAACCGAACTCTCAAGATATCATTATTATTACGTATTAGATGCTTTACACATAATTGCTTATGCTGATAATACTGATCCACACACTGCATCTGATGCAAGAGCGTTAATTATAAATTGGATTTCATATGAAACTATAATAATAGCGTTTCTTTTTCTCCAACTGTTCAGTTCAACAACTCCAGTGTCAAAATATTTACAAACAAAAGGATTAGATTATATTACTGCGTGGAATAAAATAAGTCATATCATGAAAGTATTAAAAACTATGTCTGATATAAAAAATTACAATGATCTCAAACAACGAGTTTCTATTTTTATAAAAACTATGACTAAACGAACAGAGTCTCTTGAAAATATTTTTATACAAGACGAATTTCCTGTTCAAAGACAAAAGAAAGTAAAAAGAATGTCTGGAGTGTGTGCTTTTGAATCTGCTGTAAATTTATCATCTGACCAAAAATATCATATAAATGTATTCAGAAGAATTTATGATGTTACGGGAATGGCTATGAATGAGCGATTTGAAAAAAATAAAAATCTAATTAATGCTTTAGCTTATTTAGATACACGACGATTTGATGAAATTAAATCTAATTCAATTTGTCTGATTGAAAGCTTGAAGTTTTTAGCTGACAAAGTTAACCTTAAGTATGAAGATTTACAAGAAGAACTTAGTCATTTTGTACGTTCTTATAAAACTATTATAAAATCCTCAAAAGCACTTTTTGAAAATGTATCCGACTATAAAGATGACTTAATAACAAATGAACCAGTAAATAGTGAACAAATCGAAGATGAAAGTAGTGATGACAACAATGGCGATGATAAATCTTTCGACTTTTCTAAATCTAAAATTAAAAAAAATGATTGCGAAGAATGCATACGTTTTTAAACTTTTACAAAAATATAATTTGCATTCAGCAGCGTATTCAAATTTATATATATTATATAAATATATATTAACTCTGGCATGCACACAAACAAATTGTGAAAGGGCATTTTCCAAGTTAAAAATGATAAAAAACAGATTACGTTCAACAATGGAACAAGATTTATTAAACGCGCAACTTCTTTTAAGTATAGAAAACGATTATTTGCCTGATACAGAAAGTATAATTGATAAAATTTCAGAAAGTTCTACAACATTTTCAAAATTATTACATTTTTAAAAATTATACATTTTATGTACACAAATATAATACAAGATGTTTATTAATTGTTTTCAAAAGATAAAAATGTAAGTATTATAAAAAAAATTAAATTTATTTTACACTATTAAGATTAAGTTTATACAATCCTATTGTTTAAAAACTGAAATTCTTCTTATTTAAGAAAATAAGTATGTACTATAATGAATACATTAAAAAAATTTGCTGAGAATAAAATAGAAAGAAAAAAATAAAATATAAAATAAAAAAAAAATAATGATATGTTTTTTTATTTTATAGAATGTTGATAGGGCCCTAAAAATGTTTTTGCACCCCGGGCTTTTTTATTCCATTTTACCACTGGCCGTATCTATACCGTCCGTTATCACGTTCACAATCTTTACTTATAACTAGAGTCCGGATTTGTTTGCATTTACATATTTGTAACTGATAAAAACTGATGGGAGTAAGAAATGTGAACGATTTGTGTAACAGAGAATGCATTTTATTATTAATTTTTAAATAATTAAAAATTTTATTTAAGTAATTTAATTTTCACTAGTTATTCAAGACTAGTATAGATAGTTATTAATTTTTTTATTTTTAAATTTATTTTAATCCATTCATAATAATTATGAAAAATAAATATTTATTATTATTTATATTTATATTATTATTTATTTATTATTAATATTTATTTATTATTTAATATTTATTATTAAATAAGTTTATAATTATTATAAACTTATTTTTAATTATTTATTTTTTTTTGACTAATCTAAATGATAGTTTTTGATTATTATAAATATTTTTAAATACATTTAAAAAAGATATAGGTATCGGAATGTAATATTTATATATTATTTATTTATTTATTAATATCAATACATATTTATAAAATATATAATAAATAACGTTATAATGTTAATTTTATTACAGATCAATAAAATGTACCGGTGGAATTTATATGTTATAAATCCAACCCTAAAATCGATTACCTATAAATCGGTGGAATTTACAATCGCCTGCATGATATTATAACAATCACTACACATCCGTATTATAATATCCAGTGTTAACAACTTGTTACGTAAGAAAAAATATTTTATGCAAATTTATTCAAATGCATGTAAATTTATGCAAATTTAATTATTCGGGGTAAATGAATGCAACGGGTAATACAAGGGAGAAGCGCAACACATTCACATTCAATATGTTTAACAACATATTTAAACCGTAGAAATAAAAACATAAAAACCGATCGGAATCGCAATAGAAATGATGATAGAAAAATAAAAATTGAGATCAATAATAAAGTGGTGTTGCGCGCAACGAAAATCTCGTCATTTAAACCAAGTTCGCGCAAACGAATCACACGTGTTAATCAAAAACGTCTGAGTGTACACCTCCGAGTTACGGACAACGTGAGTTTAGGTTTTTTACGATCGTGCAGCGTTGCGTTCGAAATCACGCGGTCGCGTACGAATGAATTATACGAATGAAATTCACGGAATCGTTTACGTTTATAAACGGCTACGAAGTTCTCTACAGGATCCTGCGAATCCGCGGAATCTTAATGTGGCCGTTAATGTACGCTGCCGAGGTCACAGAACGATCGCACGTTCAACGGATTCGCAACTTGTCCGGCAACAGTTGCACCGCGTGCGTTTGGCCCGCGGCCAGGGACACACCGGGACGTTTATGACGTTATGTAACCGTAAATGGTCGGGCGCGCGCGGTGTTGCCGTATCCGTTCGGCTGGCCGGGCGCGCCGGTCTTTTGACGAACATCAGAGGAATTTCACGCGACGCCGGTGCGGACGGCAAACCATTTGTACGCAGCGGGTCCCCCGGTCATATATACTCGTACGTCCGTTTCGAACGTGTTTGCTAACCTAACGTTAGACGGACCGGCGAAACAACCGATAATGCGGAGTAGAGCTCGACCTTAAGCGGCCCATACACGTTCAATTTTATTTGAAAAAATATTGACGAACATTGACGATGACCGTCAACGTATCAATATTATTGAAAAATTATTAAACATAATATCGTTATCAAATCACCAGGCCCGTAATCAAATAGTAAATCAGATTTAAATTCGCTTTAAACAGTTTAAAGCATAAATAATTATGTCTGATAATTTACATAATACTATAATAGAGCTCTTGCTCTAGCTATTTATTTTTTTGATAAAAGGAAGGAAAAACGGAACCAGAGGTTTTGAGCTAATGAGAGGTTGCTAAAGCGAAATAAGTATAATTGTGAAAATCTGTTATCTGAGCTACGATTAAACCGACCTGAAGACTATCGAAATTTTTTAAGAATGAACGAGTCATGCTTTGATGAACTTTTACCTTTAGTTACTCCATTAATACAAAAACAAAATACAATTATGCGAGAATCGATTTCAGCCAGCCAAAGACTTTCCTTGACTCTGCGTTACTTAGCCACTGGTTACACATTTGAAGATCTCAAATTTATTTTATTCATTTATTTTTAATTTGTTCAATATTATTGAAAATATCAAATATTGATCAAAATTATTGACCGTGTATGAGCCGCTTTAAAATATAAACACCGGTCGTTTGTAACGCTCAAGCGAACGCGAATCACACACCGAAATCAAAACGTACACAACGACCGACAGGCGGCTGTTAGATGTTTTCGTGTGGCGCAAGCACGTGTCGCGCGGTACGCTTGACTCGCACATTATTGATGGTCGTCGATCGCGAACCGGTCCAGCGACCGCTGGTCCGAGATCTTAAGCTATTATTTTATAATTATTTTTCATCATATTTCATTTTATAACTTTATTATTTAATGGACTTTCGTCGTGTACCAGTACGTCTCACGTACATATACGTTTCGTACGCGTGTAATACGTGCGTAATACGGACACGAACCCGGAAACTTCCCCTCGACCGCTCCGCCGCTGGACGATTCGTCGCGAAGAGAACCTCATTATTATATGCATAATATTAATTATATCGGTCTACGTCGATATTTGATAGTAACAAAATTGTCGATTAAATCTATTAATCTATTGATAACAATGCAAAATTGTTTAATTTTTCATCGGTTTGAGTCAATCTTAGATAGTCGAATAAAATATTAGTCAAATTACTAATAATACCACGTAGAGTAACTAAATTAGTCATACAGTACTACCAAGTTGGTAGGAATTAGCCACTTCCACCCATTGTAATCAGGGACGGCGCTAGGGGGTGGGCAATAAGGGCAGTTTCCCAGGGTCCCGCGCCTCAAATTATAATTAAAACCCCGCGGTTCTGATTTAACTGAACTTAAAATATTTTATTAATATAAATTATAAGACCCAACATTTATTTTGCCCAAGGTCTCGCAAACTCTACCACCATCACTGATTGTAATAAACTATACGGGTAGCGGATATTCTATTAAAAATTCTATAAACACTTGTTATGAGACAATCATGGAGTCCACTTCGGGCACAGATAAATGGAGTTAAAACGACATGGAATTCGGAAAACTGAACTTAAGATTGCGACTTTGAACACACTGAGCCTTTATAAAACTGGAGCGTGTCAAAACCTTACTGATGTGTAAAAAGTGTATGGAATACAGATAATAGCACTCCAAGAAATAAGGTGGCCAGGAAAAGGTTAGATGAATTTACGAGCTGTGATTATAAGTATTTAATATATTTTTAAAAAATATAAGTTAAACAATAGTATTTTAACTCTTAAATTTATTATTTAATCAAGAAAATAGTATACTGTACAAATAATAAGGTGTGCTATAATAATAAGATGGTACTATAGTACTAGATAGCACTAGAGCAAAAAAAATTGTTTTCAATGTTTTTTAAAATCGATAGTTTTTCACCGATACATCGAACATAACTATATTTTAAAAATCGATGTATCGATACATCAAATATCAAAGTTCAAGCAATTTTGGCCATCCCTAGTTTACAACATTATAAAATATTGTTCAGTATTTTACAATAGACTGATGCACATTATTATAATATGGTACTTATCTTGACATCCAGCATATGTGGACCACAAGACAAACGATAAGAACGATAGACAAATGATGATACCAGAATAGTCTGAAAATAATAAATTCAATTTTAAAGGTTAGGTTAGGTTAGGTTAGATTAGGCTAATAAATTAATTTTCTGCTATGATAATAATGAAGCATTATATAAAGATATTCAGTATAATATAACATGAGTCGTTCAAAAGAAATCAATTTATGATTCAACTACTCATTTAAATCAACTAGGAAGTAGACCCTCCCTATGAAATTTTTATTGTTAAATAAATAGTTTGCTTTTTAATGAACGATATTTTACTTATAACCAGCATATTAAGTGTATAAAACAGACAATGAGAATAGCAAATAATGGATTCCGAAAAGCTAGAAAATAATAATTAATGAAGTAGGTATTAAAAACCATATTTTTTATATAATCGTACTTTTTATGTTTAGCCAACGCCGTTTCAATGTTGTTAAGGTCTTCTTTTAGTATGTGCTTTCTTATTCCATGAAAATAAATATTCATGTAAGAATTCCAATCAAATCCTTCGAAACTGTAATAAAATGTTTTGCGATCTTCTGGACGTAGTGATGACCACATTTTTCTTGTATTAATGTTGTCAAATTTCCATTCTCTCATAGTAAACACCTTAACCATATCAATCGATAATTCTAGTTTTTCGTACATTTTTAACATTCTAAAGGTAAACAAAAACTTATTTAAGATCATTAAGACTACTATGAATTGTGGCAGGTACATTGTAAGTTTTTTAAAACAAAATTATGGTTGAAGTTTTAAAAATCACTTACGTTATTATACGAAATATATATGAAAGAAAAACTCTCCACTAAATTACTTGCCTTGGTTTCTTACCACAAATGAATAATGATAAATCGACTAATGCTGCAGGTATCCGATGCAATAATAATTTCAAAATCATAACTATCCAAAAATTAGTAGAGAAAATACAAAAGTTATACCACATTGACGTCAACGGTGGATAGTATTTTATCACTTCGTTGACATAAATAAGCATCATGTTCCAGGTCACCGCGCTCTCACAACTAGAAACGTAATTGTATATTTTTGGTTCTTCGTAAAATGCATTTGGGTCTTGATATCTAAAAGCAATGAAAAATAAGGGGGTGTATAGACTATAATTGGAATAATAACAACTATTTTATACGCCAATCGTTTCCACATTTACACAAAAAACACACAAAAAGTAAATTAAGATAAGATTTAAAATAACCCAAATTGTCTTAAACAGTCGCATCGTACGACTTTCATTGAAACCTAATACACAATGTGTATGTCATATGTCATATGAAAATTATAAGCATTTTATTAAACACATTAGTCGACTTATTTTGATATTTTACGTCCACTAGCGGTCCTTCTAATTATTCGGTATCCTATAGTACAAATTTACTATTATTTATGAATACCATTACTTATTATTATTATTATTATTATTCATTATTTATGAAAGATTTTTCAAAGTTGTCGGAAAACATGTTTATAAAATTGAAGAAGCCTTCTATTATGAAATGAAAAAAAAGAAAATATAGACTGAAACTACGCTTTTTACTGGATTTTCTTTTATCTTTACAGTTGTCATCATCATCATCATCATCTTTAACCGAATGTAATATAAAATGTTATGTAATAATTATTCAGACAAATTATTGTTGAAACAAGTACTTAATATAATTAATAATAAAAAAAAAAATGGTTTATAAAATTTTATTATTTAACCTCCTATCATTATTGACCACCTTATGGATTTAAATAGATGTCTGTACATTTTGATATTTAAAGTATTAAGACATTTTTCATTTTAACTATTGCATCATACAAAAAAATATATCCATTAAATCTTACCGTTTAACTGTATCCCACATTGTACAAATTAATGCGTTTGCAGTATAATCAATTGGGATTATATCAGTTATTTTGCTTGTATCAAGTTGGATGGTTCTTAATACTCCGGCAATCTTTGAAGCAATCAATCCAGTCGCTCCATTCGTATTATCAGTCCAACCAGGTTCTGGTTCGGCTACAGAGCACCCAACTGCAATGTGGTTCTTAAATATTATGTTTGTTTACTGCATTGATTAGTATGACATACAAATGTTATTAATATGGACACACTCGAGTTGGGTCCCAGATTTCAAAAACAACATGAATTGGGTCCGGACGTATTTTATGGAGTACATGAGTTGGGTCCCAGTATATTCTAGCCTAGATGTTGTTTTTTATTAATTAATTAATAAATATTATCACTACAATAACGTATAATATAATTTATATTTTACAGGTCTTTATATTGATGAATTTTCAAAAAAGCCACAGATTGCATGTTAAGGAGTCACAGGTTCCTAACCCTTTACCTATAATCTATTAACTATTTATTTAATATTTGAAAAATATTCTTCTTTTTTTACAATGAATGTAATAAAAAATTTGGAATATAATTATGTACCTAGTAACTTAACGTTTTCAATTATTGTCATAGATTTATGGTAATTAGCAATAATATACCACTAAAAAGTATAACTTAATATTAAAACTTATTAAAATAAAATTAGTTTTCAATTTTCAAACTATGATTTATTTAACACTTAACAAATATTTGTAAAAGTTATGAGCAATAAACAAATAATATTAATGAAATAATTGTATTAATGGTCATTGATATTTTATTTGTTTATTGTTGGGTTATGAAATCATAATTTGAAATTTTGAAAAATATTTTTTTTATCTTTTTATTATACTCGTATTGCTATTATTTGTTTTTATATTGTATTAATTATATTAAATATTTAAATAAAATTAATAAATATTAATATACAAATAGTAAACAATTTAAAAGACAACAGTAAAGTTTAAGAAAAAATAAAAATTACATATTAACTTTAAAACCTATGAAATATTAATGTAGAAAAGTCAGAAGTTAATAACCAAGTGTTAAAGACAAAATATAACAAGAAAATGATAATGCGGATGATTGTAAACCAAACTTTATTAATGTCTTCCCTTTTCAGTTAACTCATTTCTATAAGATGCAGGTATATTTTAATTTTTTTTAAATTTAAATTGACTACAGCATGATCAATGCTTATTAAGATTTTTAATTAGTAATATATTTATCATTATTTATAACCTTATTACATTATTATTTATGGTACTAAATGATGTTTGACAACAATAACCAAACATTTATATATTTAGAATCATATAAACACACTGAACAATGATCCTGCCAAACCACGTTTACTATAAAATCCAAATTATGAATTGATTAAAAAAATACTAGAAATGAGTCCATCATAATCTACTGCTGACTCTCATAATAAAATTTTCAATAAATAAAAAAGGTAGAAGATTTCATTCCGAATGATATAAAAAAATTCTTCTAGATGGAAAAAGTGTAGAAAATAGAAATTGGCTTAGCTATTTTGTTACCAACGCCCATATTTATTATATTGATTATATGTTTTTTCTTCTTCTGATAACCAACAAAATACTATAAGATGAATTATATATATAGACAAAAAATGGTTTTAACACATGGTCTAGACTCTAGATTCTAGAGGATCAAATGGTATTGAAAGACACGTAGCAAGTTCAATGAAACGTTTTTTAAGATAGTCAATTTTACTAATAATTCCTTCATTGCAATGTAAAAAATTACAAGTATTAAAAAAAACGTTAAACTGTGATACAGTTTATTGATATTACATTATACCTCGGTAGCATATGGATTGGAATTTCGAGAACATCGTGAAAAATGGTATGAAAATAATAAGGGAAAAATTAAAAATCTTATTATTTTTATTTTCAAGGATTTACTTATTATATCTCAGTATATTGCTGAAATTAAAATATAAAAACACAAAAGTTAATTTTCATTCATCTCTTGGAGATAACAAAATTTATTAGTTAATACAATTTCTGAATGTATATCAACATTCATAGATGAAGAAATAGTCGGTGTTAGATTTTTCAATATATCAATTGATAGTACATTTGACCATAAGTGGACATTAACTAATTAACTAATAACTATTTAAAAATTTAAAGTTAAGTCATAAATTTAATTTTATAATAAAATTTTTTACTTAATTAATTTAATTGGCAGTTGAAATAACTTATCTTTTCACAGTTGATTTAAAAATGATCCAACAAGTTAAAAATTCAAGATATTTTTTGTTTATACGTAAATATTAAATAATCATGTAGTGTAAAATGGTCGCATACACTGTACATCAGATGTCATATTAAATTTTGTAGATTGAGAGCTCACTTTTGGGTATTGGGTTCTGGCTGTGGATACAGAATGTTATGTATAAAAAATTGCAACTATAAAGATAAATAAATATGGTAATTGCTCTTTGGTGTACAATGTCATTGAATTTTTCAAACCCTTCGGCGTCACTGCTGTATATTATGATAAAAAATTAAGTACAATTGTTTTTTATATTTTAGGAAATTATATCTTTCTAAAGAACCCAACCACTTTTTATGTGACCGACATACTAATTAAAAGAAGTAGATTAACTTTTATCTTCTATACACTGAGTTTTATTTAACTTATCGAGTTAAATTTATGAATTGTAAACTGTTAACTTTTAACTTACCGATCTTGTGTTTTCTTAACTTTACTCGAGTTAATTATTTTCAATAACTTGCCCACTTTTGATTTTGACATATCAAGAAAAGAACTAGTTTCCTTTGCATTAGACATGTTCAAAACGTTACTTTTAAGGAACGGTTTATTGCTTTAAATGAATTTTCGAACAAACAAGGGGTGGATTTAGCTGAACTTTTCTATAGTGTTTGTACTGATAAATATCATAATTAGAAAAATGATTTAGTCAGGAAAGCTTATGATGGAGCAGCAAATATGCGTGGAAAATATAGTATACTGGTTTACAATAAATTATCAAAGAACAATATACAAGTGATGTGTGCACACTATACACTGCTGGTTTACTTAAATACTTAAATCTGAAATGTTGTTATTAACAGTTTATAGTTTTGACAGTATGTTTGAAATTTTAGATAAAACTACTCGACACTTAAAATGATTAAAAACAGACTTCGTTCTACCATGTTCAATGACAGACTAGAATCACTGACAAGGATATATTGTGAGCAAGATATTGATATTTATTACAAACGTGTTATTGATAAATTTAGTATAAAATCTTTACCATTGATTAAAAACCTTCCATTTGAATTTTAATATTTTTAGGTGTATGTTATTACTTATATTTCATGAGTAAGCGAAAAGTCAGAACAATCCATTCTATAGTATTAACATGTAGTATTGTAGTACTTATGGTATAACTGGTTATCAAACATAAAAAAATAATACATTACCACAACCGCACAATGAATATTATAAATAACATTGAAGATTAAATATTATAATAAGGTAAACTATTTTACAAGATCTTTTTAATGTTTTTATTCTGAAGGTTTTAATCAAATTAAAAAAACATAATGCCTTTTATATATTGCTATGAATGTATAATATATCATCAAAAATGAATACACCTTATTTAATGAAACAGTACAAATTGCTATTAAGGTACCTTAATATTTATCACATTATCAATCAACATATGATAAAATGTATAAAATAATTTAAATTTGAATTTATGAGGGGTTGGGTGGTCGGCTAATATTGGTTTTGCTATACCTGAAAAATATATATGTTTATCGTCACTGGATCGAATGAGATACAGGAACGATGGACTAATACGAGTATGTTTCTTAATAAAATACGACGAATTTCTATACTTATGTGCGAATTATTAAAAATTTACTTACTTATCGATGGACGAAATATTGAGATTGGCAAGTGCCCATAATTTGTGGCTATCGAATTCTCAACGATTGATTTCGTAAATGTATACGTATTTGGCCAGTTCCCTACAATACTATCCTCAGAACATTTATACAATTATAAATAAACATTTATTTAAAAAAATTTTATTTAGGTGGAAATATGTACTTTGATGGTAATTTATCGGAACTAATCATATTTTGAAGTTCTGCAGATGTAATTGGAGTAGGATAATATTGCTCTTTGATTTCATCTCTTGGACAATGTGAATAAGCAGTGGAAACGTGCACAAAACCCTTAAGATTTTTCATTTTTGTTGCTAGCGTCAATATACGTTCAGTTCCTTGAATATTTATTTTACATGCGGA